AGATGCATCAGACACAACATATGTATGAGTCATACATATTTCCTTTGAGGAGAGAGATCCCACCCAAAATACTAAAGCTTGCCAGAAGGAAAACTCTTTACATTTACTAATCACAGTGGCCAAATTCTTACTGGATATTTACCCATGTGCAACAGGCATTTTGGAAACTGTCATGGCTGACTGCAACTAACTGACAATGCCATTAAGTGACACATTTCATTCAGGCACACTATTAGGCATGTGATCCATGTGAAACAACACATCAATGAGATACAGCAACTTAATGTGCCCCCCAAGCATCCATTTCTAAACAGCAAAGAAACAGTCCACACACACACTGAGAACCACAGTATGGACCCTTTTTTGCCAGCTAGGAATGGGCTGGATGTTATGAATTTTTCTACACCAAAAAACAGTACTGTATTTGAGACATAATAATTATGTGCCATCAAAACAGTTCTGACTTATGGCAACCTTCTTTAGGGTTTTCTAGATAGATGGTACTTAGAAGTTGCTTGCCATTCTCTTCTGGGCACGTTCTGGGACTGTGCAGCTTGTCCAAGTCCACACAGCTGAGTTCTTCTGGAAAAATGAACTCTCAATGTCTTGCTCCACAGCTAGATACCTAATTCATAGTGTATTCAGCTGGTATAATCAGAAGTTTAGCCAACATACATGAGGGGGGAAAGAAGAAACCTATAACTTTACAGGGTGAATAAATACAGTTCAGCAAGAGGGGGAAGGTTCTTCAAAAACAAGAATGCATTTAATTGTTGCATTTCTGATCAATCACATAACTTTTTTATGTTACATGAAAGCAACCGTCCTTGATAAACATGAAACAACAATATGACTCAGTGAGGGGCTAAAATTAACCATCACTCCTGTAGCAGTTGCCTACATGTCACTCACATCCAGTCATACAGTTATCCATTGAGGTCTAATTGTCTTCATATATTGATTGCCAGAAATCTGATACATTGCAGCAAAACCACTCATGCTACCTATCCAATAAGCCTGAGAATGTAAGAAGAAGCCTGCTGCATCAGACTAAAGTTCCCATAACAGCTAACCAGTTCCTATGAGAAGCTTGCAATCATGATACAAAGAGATGGGATATAAATTAAACAAAATAAATATGTAAACAAACACAATAGCACCTTCCTGCTCATGTTCCCTAGCAACTGGGATTCAGAAGTATTTTGTCTTGGATGTTGGAGATAATAAACATCCATCATGAGCAGCAGCCATTAATAGCCTTCTCCTTCAAATTTGTTTTATCTCTTTCAAAGTCACCCAGATTGGTGGCTATCACATTATTTGGGAATGCTGTGTGAAAAAGTACTTTTGTTTATCTTTTCCAGATCACCCTGCGCTGTGGTATTAGAAGGAGAGGGGAAAAACTTTCTCTTAATTCACACCCTGCATAATTTTATACATCCTTAGTGTATCTTCCTTTACTCGCCTTCTTTATAACCTAAAAAACCCCAGAGCTGAAACTTTATATATTTACTTAAATATTTTTACCCCACCTTTCTCCTTAAAAGGACCCAAGGCAGCTTACATGATTAAAAGACAATATTAAAGTTAACAATAATGACTATATGAATGCTAAAAGGGATTGCACAAATACCATACAAAAACATAAGCAACACCAAAAACACATTCAAAGCAGTAATGTATAACAATCCATTTTATAAAAACCTCACTCAGGCAGCCAGTCACTCAAGGAAAGCCTGCCTGAAGAGAAAGGTCTCTGCCTATTCCTCTTACGGAAGTTCTAGCCTCTACAATTTAAGCTGAAGTAACTAAACTCATGTGAAAAACCAGCAAGACTAATGCAGAATAAAACTGTAAAAAAGCTGTTTAATGAATTGTGGTTTGTATAGATGTATGCATTAAAAGGAACACGTGAAGAGATCAAATTCATTGAAACACAGAATGTTGTTCCACTCTCAGATAATTTACAAACCATACCAATGGATGAAAGTCCCTTATTATCTCATCTCATTCATTCTAATATCCATTCCTCTCTCCTATAACATATACTGTCTAATTTGGGAAACAGAAAACTGAAGTCTTACTGTGTCCCTCTATTAAATGGCTCAGATCACAGAACACAACGCATATACCCAGACTGAATCTGCCAACCTATTTCTCTGTTGCAGGATTGGGTGACTTCAGTGGATCTAGGGGTCATTTCTCTGTTGCTAGGACACTACAGGGTCCACACAAATTGCCCAAAATGTCAAAATGCAAAAAAGAAAAGAAAAGAAAAAGAAGAGGAGGAGAAATCTGCCACTTCTTGAAGGCTTTCAGGAATAACAATTCACAATTGAAAAACTGAAAACTGCTGGGGGGTCTAAAGGGCATTTGGGAGGAGGACTGGGGACTACAAGAACAGCCTGGGGCTATGCATGCAGACCCAGGACCATGATTTGCCCGTCCTGGTTCTATTCTTTGGCATCTTATGAAATTAATAGCTGTGCTTTTCTTTGGAACAACCATCCTAGAAGATTCACTGCCCGTGCAAAAGTAACAATTTAGTGTCAAATATCAAGATTTATGGAGAAAATGGTCACTGGGGCAAGACGGGGAACCAACAGAAGCATCAATAAGAATGGTTTCACCTTGACATGTTCTTTATATTAATCTCCAAATATTACTCTGTTTCCCAAAGCAGATCACAGTGAGATGCACAGCTTACTACAGTACAGTGGTTCACCAGCCTTGGGTCCCCAGATGTTCTTAGACTAAAACTCCCAGAAGCCTTCACCATTAGCTGTGCTGGCCAGGATTTCTGGGAGTTGTAGTCTAAGAGTATCTGGGGACCCAAAGTTGGGAACCACTTACTTGCAACATACATAACATCTAATACCAGATCTACCATCCATTATTTTAGAAAGTATTCAATTTGCCTTGAGGTTTACCATGTCTACAAAGTTGTGTTCCCTTCTGTCCTCCCTCACACAGGAATAACCAGTGCATGTTTTAAATGACAAAATGCCAAGACTAAGTCTCTATTAAGCTAAACGTAAGCACAGGATGTATCTAGATACTTGCTGAAATCAGAAACTTGCATAAAAGACAGACACCAAGGTCACATTTCAAAAGCAGGGAAAAATCCAAACATTCCTATCTAAAGATACTGTAATTTAATACAATTACACATTCCTTTACTCTTGCTTTCGATCAGAGGCAGGCACAAAAATCAAGGGCTTATCAAAAGATGAAAGAAAAATCAAGATTAACTTTTTTGTCATACTGGCAAAGCATTCCTAAGCATATTTATCTAGCAGTAAGTCACTCCAGGTTCAATAGTGCATATCCTTTACTAAGTGTGTCTATTAGGATTAGCATCAAATGTGTGTCCTTCAGAGTTCTAGAAATCAAACAGTACATAAACAAAGAATATTTTTATAAACTGTAGTCTGGAACTTAGGAAACCCAACAGAGATAAAATTATAGGCTATTACGGAAGCAAAAGAAAATGAAGGTCAGGGTGACAGTAAAGAGAACCACACCAAACTCTCCTTTTGGCACAACTTTTAGAAGTTCAAGGACACAGCTGTACACTGGAAATAGATGTTTTGGGAGCACATGAAGAACTAGAGATTCTGTTACCAAATACCAAGAACTTGAGATTCAGTCACTGGGAACAAAGTGTTTAGATCAGACCAGGGAATATTTAGCTGTCCAGACAGTTTGGACTACAATTTTCATTATCGGTAGGTGGGCCTGATGGGAATTGGTAGACAAATACATGGGAGGGGGTCAAATTTCTCCACCCTTGACCTAGATTAAGGTGAGACCACTGCCTACTAAGCAACCATGGCCACTATCATATGCTCTTATGAGATGGGAAGAGTGACAATAGAAAAAGGGAAATCATTCTTAATCCAGAAAGGACTTGGATTCAGTACACCTTAGTCAGCTTAAAGTCAGTTCAGCCAGTTTACACTCATTTTGATTAGTTAGGATCACACCCTTAATCTCCTAAAAGCAAAGCGTGCTGCTTATATACCACCCCATAGTGCTTCAAGCACTCTCTGGGCGGTTTACAAGTTAATTATGCAGGCTACACATTGCCCCTCCCCCCCAGCAAGCTGGGTACTCATTTTACCGACCTCAGAAGGATAGAAAGCTGAGTCAACCTTGAGCCGGCTACCTGGGATCGAACCCCAGGTCATGAGCACAGTTTTGGCTGCAGTACAGCGGTTTGACCACTGTGCCACAAGGCTCTTGTCCTACTCCCAAAATCTGTACATTTCCCTTCAGGAGCACAACAACAACATGAGAGACTTGGCTTCCCACACACCCCAGGACCTCTCGATTGTATGGGTCATCAATACATCAGGATAGCACTAACACAATCTAGGGGTAAAATGTTTGTGTGCATAAACATCTAATCTATGTACACTTTTGTGTGATGTCAGGCATTCAGATGTTTAGAACCAGAACCTCCACAAGCACTGAACATTATCAAGGACCAAGTGTTGTGTGAGTTACAGTTGGGAGGGATCTCAAAGGCATGAAGTCTCCTGCGGGTTTTGATACAAACAGATCCAATGCATGTGGCAATTTTCTTTTTCATGGTCAGGGGACTCATCTTTGGATAAGCAGAACCTTATCCTACCTGTGCCATAGCTTTGTTGTGCCCTGTTATCAATCACATTTCCCCTATTTGTGAAACGGAAATAATAAAGGACCTCCTGTTGCTGAAAAGGGTAGAGCTGCAATTCTCCACACACTGAACTGTAAGTGTGTAACTAAGTACAAGTGAATTAAGTCCCACTGATCTCAACGAGAGATGGTTATAGGTTGCGTTTTTCAAACAATGATACTATAACAGGCCAGGTCAAAGGGGCAATCCTATGCTTGTTACTCCGACGTTAAATCCCCTCCAGCCCCATCGTGCTTGCTCCCATAGTGGGCAAGACCCAAAACCTCCTTCTCTTCCCCCTCCCCCAGGCTCCAGGCGCTTCCCTCTTCCTTCTTACCCGGGCGGCGCGGGAGGAGTAGGGGTCCTCGAAGAGGGCCCACATGCGGGGCTGGAGCCTCCTCCACCGGCCACCTCTGCCGTCGAGGGCCGACCCGTTGGCGCAGGACGAGGAGGAGGAGGCGCCCACCGCGCCCACGTCTTCGATGCCCAGGCGCCTGGCGGCCAGCTCGTCCTCGTCCGGGTCCGGCGGCGGCTCGCCGGTGATGAGGTCGGGCGCCTCGAAGATGTCCAGCGCCTCCTCGGCGTCGCGGTGCTGCCGGTAGGTCATCCAGCAGCAGGGCTCCACGTCGGTCTCGTCGATGCCCCAGAAGGCCAGCTCCTCCTCGAAGAGGGGCCCGCACACGTCGGCCGGGCAGTGGAGCTTCCCCGTGCGGTAGTAGTTGAGCACGTAGGAGAAGATGCCCGGGTGGCGGTCGAAGAAGACCTCTTGGCTCTGGCCGTCGGCGGCGTCCAAGGCGCTCTGGGCGTCCGGGTCGGCCAGCCAGGCGAGGCGGGTGCCCGGCAGGGTGCGCAGGGTGCTCTTGTAGGTCTCATGCCGGGTGCCGCCCACGTTGATGGTGATCTTGTCCGAGTCTTCCCCTCGGCTCATCTCCTCCTTCAGGCATGTTTTGGAGGGGGGCTTGTTCCCCGATTTGCGCCCGCGGTAAGAGGAGACACACACCGAGCTGATCATAGATTACGTCGGGCAGGTGGACCCGAGGCGCCCTCCGACTGCTCACTTTGCTGGCCTGTCGGCGAGGGAGCTGGGAGGGAGGAGAAGGAGGGGGCCAAAAAGGGGCTCGTCCGTCTGGCCCCCCGGGCACGGCTCTGCCCTCGTCCGGCTGGCGCGCTCGCAGCTCTGCCGGCGCCGCTGGCATTTGGCCAGGGACCTCCTCCCTCCCCGCCGCCGCCGCCGCCGCCGCCGCCGCCGCCGCCGCCAAGGGACTCGCCTTGGGACTGAGAGGCGAGGAGGGCCAGGCGGGTGCCCGGCAGGGTCTTGAGGGTGCTCCGGTAGGTCTCGTGCCTGGTGCCCCCGACGTTGAGGATCACTCTCTCGTTATCCTCGAGCTTCCCCATCTCTGTGGCTCAGACATGACTGCAGGACGAGAAGAGAGGAGGAGAAGGAGAACAGTGGCAGCCAAAGGCAGCGCGCCCTGAGGCTCCGAAGCCGTCGAGGCGGGAGAAAAGACCCGGGACACCACGGGAGGTGGGGCCAGGAGGTAGCAGGCAGCGGGATGATGGTGATGGTGATGATGATGATGGTGGTGGTGGTGGTGGTGGTGGTGATGATGATGATGATGCGGCTGCTGCGCCCAACAACATCCTGGGGGAAAGGGGACCAAGCCCTCCCAGAAGTGCCCTCAGCCTAGCACTGGCAACCCTGTTCGCGGGACACCACCTTGGGAGCCCGTCGCCCCCATTCCACTTCGGCTCTTTCCCAACCGAAGCATGTGGCCTCTGGGAGCCGCTGCCTGTGGCTCCCTCTGATCCCGATCTCCAGACAGAAGACTTTCCCGCCTTTGGTGGCTTCTTTTCCCGCCTCTTTTCTCCCTCCCTCCTTGACTACCACCAAGGGCTTCTCCTCGCCTCCCTTCCAGCCACCCTCTCGGGCTCTCAGCCCCCAACTCCCCCGCCCCAGCCCAACAGCGTCAGCCCGAAAGCAGTTTGCCCCCGCCGGACCCGGGCACCACCACCCCTTAAGCTCGCTCCCACCCTGCCCTCACCCGAATTCCGAGGCGCCTCTCCTTCCGCCGCCCCCCCCCTTTCGTTCCCAGCCGCCTTTCCTTCGCTTCCGAGGACAGTCAGGTGGCTTCGCTGCCTCATCCTTCCCTCTCGCCTCACCCACCCCTTCCTCCGCCTGGGAGTATCTGGACTCTTTCCTTAGGCGCCCACCCCCAACCCCAATACTGGCTGGCACCACCATCACGCCGCATCTTCTCAAGGGCCCTGGGAGGGGGGGTCCCCTGTCTGGACCCTCGGCATCTTCTCCCTCCCGCGCCCTCCCCATGAATTATTTCGCTCAAGTTGTCTCAACATCAGCCGCAGCAGCGAGGAGAGGTGCCCTTTGCCCATCTTCTCGCCGACATCGGGGTTGGACTGGTGATGAAAGACAGTCCTCCTGCGCGCAAACCCCTGCCTTCCCCCCTCCCCAGAAAAAGAGACCCGAGCGGTGGGCGACACCCTACGCTACCGGATCTGTACCAACCTTAGCAGCGGATTTCCACCTTCAGCACCCTCGTCGGAATTTACCTGTCGGTTCCTGTAAGGCGATATCGGGCGAAAGGACTCGGGAAGGCGCTGCTATAGCTCTTGTCTTCCTTCCCTTTCTCCTCCTCCTCCTCCTCCTCCTCTCCCGCGCCCCCCGCCCGATTCTCCCATTCGTCCTCCATACCTTAGTGACAGCGATCGAGCGAGCGTCTCTTCTTCACGCGGCAAACGCGCTCTGGCTTTGCTGCCCGCCTCGCTGCGCGGCTGTGGCAAAGGGAGAACTACTTGTTGTCCGCGCAGCTCTTGCTGCTGCTGCTGCTGATTTCCCCCCTCTCCTTCCAGCGCTCCCCCCCTCCTGGTCATCCTCTCCAGGTGGCCCGTCCCGAGCCCTTGACGGCCAGCAGCCCCCCCCCACCTGCTGCTCGGACACCTGGCTTTTGTCGCGGGGCGAGGAGCCGGCCGAGAGGGTTCAGCGGCAGCCTCGAGTGGCAGCGTCGGCAATGAAGAACCAGCAGCAAAACATGAGGAAGGGGTGGGGAGGGCGAGGGTGTCGTCGGCACGATGGGCGCCCAGCCTCTAGCCAAGGAAGGACAGGCCCGGGCACGGCGGGCGCCCTCAGGCTGCTCCTGCCTGGTCCCGTTCCCGGTCGGCCAGCCCGGAGCTGTCC